ATTATTAAATATTTTATTATTGGTTATTTATTATTAAAAATTATGGTTTTTATTTTTCACTAATTCTCACTAAATTAGCAGAAACAGGTTATCACTCTCTCCAGTCACAGCATGTTTTCTTTAATAGTTTACAAGCTGCTTCTCAGATACTGTACTTACCACACAGGAAACTTTCCTAATGCCATTTACAGAAACATACTGAGCTTTCATATTCTCCAGCACTCTCCACTGATTCTCCAAGATGACAGTACGTGTGGGTATCTCACCACTTTGCTCATCCAGCCTGTGCACAGGAAGAAGAAAAACAAAGCTAGTACATAAGAAACTATTCCAGTACTAAGACAAACCTCAGTCAGTCCAGGGTTTTTTTATGTCTATGTTTTATTATATCATATGCAACAAGCAGATGAGCATTTGAAACCATTGTAACACTGCTATGGGTATTCTAGAGAGGGGGATGCACCTGCAAAGACACAGCATGTTTCATCTGAGGTAAAAGGTTACAGCGGGTGAGAAGGGAGTTGTAAAGCCTGATCTTCCCACAAGTAACAGCTACAGCAGGAGGATGAAGATGGCATTCCTTCAAATGTTTCCTCTGCAAGAGAAGGGGTTTCTGAACAAAGTCCTGGAGGCAATGCCTTCACTTACACAAAAGTTTAGCCTCTATGACCTTTCAAAGATGGTCATAACTCTAGTTTCCCCTCATCCGCAGGGACTGTGTGAAGGACCCCTGCCTATTACAGCGACCAGGATTAGTTTGAACTTGCTTTTAGTATTTTCTATTCATTCTTCAATACACAACTTCTTTGTGGCATTAAAACATATATATATATATAAACAGTTCAGTATGGCTCTTTGTTTTGAGGTAAAAATGTATTTTAAGCAATCCACCAGAGGCACAGGGAGATAAAAAACAAAAGCAAGTGAGGCTCAACAACTAAAAGACTGGATTCACCACTTGAACTACATTGGCCTTTTTGTGTGTGTGTGTGAGTTCACTTCCCCCAGATGCTCTTCTCTCCCTAAGCCAACACAAAGGCATCAGTTCTGATCTTTCAGGGCTAAGCTGACAATAGTAGTATGGGAAAGGGATGAAGAAATATTTGTGTATCCTTATTACAAGGGCAGAGGTATATGAGCAAAGAGGCTGAAAACATCCTGAATTCAAGTATTCTGACCAGCAAAATTAGCATCCTTTAAAGAAAAGATCACCTCTTAATCTACAGGATGTCTTCAATTGGTTCTCCCATTTCATGGGAGCCATGTGCACTGTAGTATTCAGTCTCAGAAAAAGCAAAACCAATCCCAACCCCCAAAAACCACAAACCAAACTTTTAGGAGGCTTCCACCTCTGCACCCCACTCCCTGGGCACAAAGCTTTTGTCTTTAAAATATTTACACACACACAAGGCATGATTAATTGTACACAATTAGAATATTTGCTGAATCTGCTTTTCAGTTGCACATTTTCAGACTTGCTCAAAGTACCTTTTAGTAGAATCCCAGATGAATTCCCTATCTTGGTCCTCATCTGTGTATATCGAAGATAAAGGCAGCTGAGCCAACACTCTCTCCTTCCCTTCTTGTTCCATGCTCTCCTTCAGAACTACAGATACAGTTTCATCATCATAGAAGTGTGCGTCTAAACAACTGTAGCATCTACAGGAAAATAATTTAGAAAGGAATAAAAGCCAGAACTAAAATATTTTTAAGTTGCACAGCATTCATGTTAAAAAATACTATTCAGTAGCTAACAGGGAGCTTTACTGTAAATGATAAAAAGGTCACTCATGCAGCTAAGACACTGAAAGACAGTTACAACCATGTCAGACTCTTGTGTGATGCAGGCCAAATGATTCTGAAGGGAAAAAAAAGCCACACAAACCCCCCAAAATAGAACAATTACTAGCAATCTTATTTTGTCTCGGTTCAGGTGAGGTGCAAGGAACAGTAAACACAAACACCAAGGAAAATTTAGAAACATATCTCATGTTACTGATAGCAAACACATCTGGCCTTTGTACATGAAAAAGATGAGCTTAGTCTGCCATGCCTTCTAGGATGCCTTCATTTGGGCATACCAAGTGTCTCTCCATCTTAAAGAACATTACAGATATAAGCAAGAGCTGCTTCCAGTGAGCTTGCTTTCTTGTATGCGTGCTAAAAGCTCTAGTTCTGAGATAGAAAACTAAATATACTTGATCTTGTGATGAAGTGCAAAAATAAGATTCCCACAATCCTGAAGCTTCATGCACCTCTGCCATCACACCCAAGGACTACAAGCTGAAGTAGTAATTGCAGGATAAAAGCCAAACTATAATGCCTCAGAAGTGAACTTAATGTGAAAAATAAACATTAGAAAACACGGTTCTGCAAGAAAAATCAATATACTGACCTGGAGTCTGAGCTCTCATTTATACTGTTGCCCAAGAAGTTTCCAAACTCTACTGCAAGAATTCCGTTACTGACAGACCTAAAACAACAGTGTTCATTTTCTCAGTTGATAATTTATTTTTCATTCATAGAGAACCCAGAATCTCTAAAGGCAACTGTGGTAAGAGATGGTATAAGCGGCTAAGTTTGGCACAATACAAGTCTACATCCCAAAATGATGCAACTGGTAGATGAAAACCTTTTGATTTCCTCTGCCCTCACCAAAATATGACTAATGGAGTCAAACAGGAAACTGACTCTGGCTTGTGGGATACAGTTCTCTGCTGAACTCTTTGTCTTACCTGGACGTATCGGTATGTCTCCTCAAGATGTGTATTTTAGAAATAGAATCTTCTAACATGGTGAAGAGAACATAATGTATATTGGATGTTTTGTCATTCCACCTGTAATGTGAGGGGAGGAAATGAAAATGCAGATTAAGTTTTAATAACTGGTAAATGACAAAGAAGAAGGAATAGCAGCATACTTACAGAAATGGTAGCTTAAATAATTGAGGCGTGGAATCTTCACTGAAAATTAAAAAATAAACTAGTTTATTAAAAGCTGCTGTAATTTTGTGCAACTGAGCTTTAGAAATAATGTAAATAAATACCTTTGAGAAGTTTTGTAAAGAGACATGCAGAATGCTTGATGCACTGACTTTCCAATTACATCCTAACAAAAACAATGAAAATAGGCCAAAAAAATGCAGTCATTTATTCCTAACTATACACATTTTAAAGACAAGGAAAAAAAAACAACAAACCAAACAAAAACCAACCAACACCACCAGAGTACATCTGAAAACAATCCACCAATATTTAAGCTGGAATAAACATCCCTACTATAACCACTACTGTCACTTGATACACTAGGCATTAACATCTTTGTTGGTGACATGGACAGCGGGATTGAGTGAGCCCTCAGCAGGTTTGCCAACCACACCAAGCTGTGTGGCTCGACTGATACGCTGGAGGGAAGGGATGCCATCCAGAGCGACCTGGACACACTTGTGAGGTGGGCTGATACCAACTTTATGAAGTTTAACAAGGCCCTGCATGGCAGTTAGGGGCAATCCTAAACACAAGGCTGGGGAGAGAATGGATTGAGAGCACCCCTGAGGAGAAGAACTTCGGGTGTTGGTTGATGAGAAGCTCAACGTTGACCTGGCAGTGTGCACTCGCAGCCCAGAAAACCAACTGTATCCTGGGCTGCATCAAAAGGAGCACGACCAGCAGGTCAAAGGAAGCAATTCCACTCCTCAGCTCTCATGAGACCCCACTTAGGAGTACTGTGTGCAGTTCTGGTGTCCTCGACATAAGAAGGATGTGGATGTGTTGGAAGGGGCTTTGAGCAACCTGGTCTAGTGGATGGTGCCCCACCCATGACAGGGAGATTGGAACTAGATGATCTTTAAGGTGCCTTCCAACCCTACCCATTCTATGACTCTATGATTCCTCATAATATACAGATTAACGTACTGCCAACTAATACATTTATCTAGTATACAACACATACACCAAGTTAATTAACATTAAAAATAGACCCCAACAATGTGGAACATAAGACATGAAACAAAAAAATCCCCCATTATACTCTCCCTGGCCAAAGACTTGAGACATCCTGGCAGTGGTGAAGCTGAGCTCCATACTACCACCTAAGTTGCAGGCACTCAAAGGCAAAGATTAAAACTTCAGGCCTTACTAAGCATGACTACTACCTTCAGTTGACTGCAAGCCCTAGAATAAAGTTATAATTTCTATAAATTTAACTTACCGCTGGCTTTTGTAAACACTGATCAATGACTCCTTCCATTTGCCTTTTGACAAAATGCAGTGATTTCTCAGGATAGTAGGGAAACAGAAGTGGACTTTCTGTAGACAGATAAAGTTCATGTGAAAAACACCTGTCTCTGTATAAAAAACATAATACGCTGTTATCAAAGTGACAGTGTAGGGCAAAAAAAGATGGTCACAGGGCTAAAGCACATGCTTTACAAAGAGAAGTTGAGGGGGCTGGGTTCATTCAGCCTAGAAAAGCAAGGGCTATCAAAGAGGAACCTATTGGTCTCTTCAGCTGCCTAAAGAAGGAGTTACAGAAGACATCATTTTCAAAGCTACTCACAGGGAGAGGAAAACATGCAACAGCCATAAATCCCAGCAAGGGAAATTCCAACTGGATATAAGGAAAAGAGTTTTCACAAGGACTGGTTAATGCTCATGAAAGGGCAGCATGCCCAGAAGACTAGAGAGTCTACCCTTGGAGAGGCAGAGGACCTGACTGCACAAAGCCTTGAGCAACCCATTTTAGCTTCAAAATTAGCCTGTCTTTGGTTGGATTAGGTGACTGTCTAAATTATTCTCTGATCATAAATTCGAACTCAAGTAAACAACTGGATTAGAAAACAAATTTGAAAGAAGAAACTGCATTTACTTCAGAGGTAGAAACAGAGTTGTTCTAAAGTATCTTATTTAAGCAAAACTATTTCCATACTTTTTACAGTAGCCCTGATTTGGCTTCTATAGGATAGATTCATTCTCTCATGAAATGAACAACTTCATAAAAGGACATTTAGCTTTGGAGATAATCTCATTGTTTATTTTAAGTACAAAACTTGTTTCTTTTCCAATGTTTAGCTGGAAAAATGATACAAATTACATCAACCAACAAAGTTATATAAAAGGTTGACACCTTTCTACCAAAGAAAGGTAGAAGGTGTCAACAACAGAAGCATTACTTGTCCTATAATCCTATAAATATCTCAATGCTTGCCAAGTATTAATACCAAGAAATTAATACCAAGAAAACCACTTTGAATTAAATAGGCAGAAAAAGACAGCTTTAGCAAATTCTATTACAAGGCAGGTTATGCTGCGTAAGTTTTACAGTCTATGGTTTCTAAAGTTAAACCAGAAGTATTTCGCTATCAGTTTGTTACAGTTTCTTACTTCTTTTTCACCACTCATTAACAAAATAGCCTCAGACTCCAGAGAAAGAGAACATATTAGGACACTTTCCCCAGGTATGACCTAAGTGTAACTATTACTTCCTTGAACTAGAATCAAGATCTCCTAAAACTGGCATCTCCAGGGATATCGTCCAAGCAACAGTTCTGAGACTGGTACATAAAAAGGCAAGAAACTCCTCATACCCAGAAAACAGCTAATTGACTGGGTAAGCCACTACATAAAAACTGTGTAAAATAACAAGGCCCGTTTATTTTATTCTGCTCAGATGAAGACCCATGACTAACACTACAGAAACAGAAATAACTCGTAAGCATGAAAAAAGATTCTTCTTCTACACTGGTTACATTCTACATGTATCTTTGTTAAACTTTTTACTAAAGTACAGGTTACCTTTAAGATGAGTACTGTGTTTAAGAAAGTTAAACCACTGGTTTCCCTCTGTATTAGGTGGAGATACAAGGTCATCATCTTCATCTTTCAAGTACTAGAAAAGATGCAGACATTTATATGATTGCATTTTAAGAATAATTAATGAGAATTCATTATTCTTCATTTTAATTATAAAGAATTAGAATTCACCTCCAACATCACCCTTCACGAGCCTGTTAAACATTTCTTCTGAATTCAACATGCCCTAGCCTTAAAACTAAATACTCCACCCCTTCTAGAAACAATAAGAAAAATCGACTATTGTCTAAGATCACATAGTGATAGTTCCATAGGAAATTGATTTGTAAATCAAGTTTGAGCACAAATGTTTTGAAATACAGTGATTCATGGCATAAAGACAAATAAACACATTTCAGTTTTACATTACTATTGCTGGCTGGAAGAAGTTTCACTTTTCCTAAAAATACAGCATGTGTAAGGTAAAACTATAGGATATGTTTTTAAACACTACTTTCCTAATCACAGAGGAAAATAATTAAAATACTCTCCATTACAATTACTGGAATATGCAACACAGAGCAAAAGGGACAAAGATGAAAAGTAGACACAGCTTTAAATCTTCTCTATCTAAGGATTTTCTCATTTAATCTTTTTCCATTTATTCCCTAGTTCTTTACCTGCCCAACTCTCTCCACATTGAAGTATTTTCCTTTCCGATTGTAAAGTTCTGGTGCCTGAACAAATAATGCAAACAAAACCATTATTTAAACCCAAAGTTAATGAGAAGCAGTGTACAAAAAGATGATTGAATTATTTTATCGTAACATTTTTCAGATTCATTTCTTGATCGCAAAAATACAGTCAGATGCTGTATTGGCAAACCAGTAACTTACCTCATTGAAGTGTTCAGTAAGAAAATCAGCAACAAATGTGATATCTTTCTGAGTCATCTAAAAGGGGAAAAAACAAAAACAAAAACAAGTGAGAAAAGCAAAGGATAAGAAACATATTTCAATGAGCACAGAACACACAAGTTCCCTCAGCCTGTCCTCAAAGAACACATACTGCAGCCTTCAACCTGCTTGGGGGTTTCACTCCAGTTTATTCGTGTTTGTCTTATACAGGAGGGCCTCAAACCAGAGGAAGTATTCTAGATACAATCTGATGAGTGCTAAATAAGGAGGGTCCTGTCCATGCTCGTTAGTACAGCCATGGTTACCTGGCCACCTTTGCTGCCAGGGCACACTGTTGGCTCATGCCCTAGGTCCATCCCAGCAGAGCTGCTCCCCAGCCAGTTGGGGCTCTGCTGTATAATTGCAGGTGGTCACTCTTCCCCAGGACAGAACCTTGCATTTGTCCTTGCTGAACTTCAGGAGGTCCCCATCTGTCCCTTCCTCCAGACTGTATTTCCCTCTGGAAGGCACCTCTGCCTTCGAGTCTATTAACTGGTTCACCCAGTGTGATGGTGTCTGTACATCTGATGCAGGTGTATTCCACCTCCTTTACCAGAGCATCAGTAAAGATTTTAAAATCCCATTCTGGTTAAGTTAGTCATTTAGGGCATATAAAGAGCTGCTATACACAGAGGTCTCAAATCACATACAATGTACTAAAAAGAGCAGTATTCACAAAGAAAATAGAACAAGTAATTAATGTGAGACAGCATATTAATGTGAATCTGCAGGCATCAACTTTCTCAAAGAAATGACAGATGCTATCCTTTAAATTTTGGAACAAAAATGAACCTTTAGCCTTGCACTCAAAGCAAGCAGAATACAGAGTATACCACTATTTATTAGAAGATGTTACTACTACCTTGTTCAGCTCTGGAAGCACATGATCTTCTGACATCCTCAACATGGCTGAGGGAAAAATTATATTCTTAACTGCATTAATGTTAATATGTTTTCCTAATAGTCTTAATTTTCCATGGCTATGTAATAAAACTGCTGATAAAATAGGAAAGATTAAGTTCTCAGAAGCAAAAAAGAATGACCAATTACGAGTTGAGATTGAAATTAAGCCTCTGTTGCTCCACTAGCTTACAATACAAATCTTGGAGAATATTTATCTTCATCTTTTCCAACCGCACTGTAGCCTGTAGAAGACTGAGATAAGATTATTATAAAAAGGGTTCTTAAGAATGCATTCATGTACATAGAATAGTAAAACAGACATAAAGCACATGAATACTGTCACAGCCAGAATAACCCATTTTGAAATCTTAAATCAGTGAGGCTTAGATAAACAGTTCTCTGTTCAGTTTCAACAAAAGCAAACACAGCGAACATTTAAATAATGGAAGTTCTAATGTCACGACAGAGAACTATGATAGTTCCACTTTCTGGAATTTTAAAAATTGTAATTATTATATTCCT